ATCAATGTGACTGCACCCTGATTGGTGGCAGTCCATGATGTCTTACAGTGATGATAACCTACCACAGGCCTTGGTGGCTTACCGTTGGTGGTGGACAGAGCCATTAGTGCTTTACCAGATCCACGGTAGAAAATAAATTTTCCGTGACAAGCAGCATGAGGTAGATTGTAGAAGAACGATTATTTCAAGCAAGGTACTACTCTTTCGGTGTACATCTAAAATAGCTTTATCAAAAGCACCGATAAATTCATTTTTGATTGAGGCGTCACATATTTATTGACTTTTGCATACTTCACTGCAGGCTCAAATGCAAATGCATTTTTTTCAAATGCAGGCTGCAATTTTCAAAGCCAGAAAAGTGTCGGTTTTCACCCACGGAAGACGCGGCGCCATTGTCTCTCGGTATGTACCGAGGTGTGAGCAGCTCACCTCAATTCCTGCAGTTTATCGAGGGGGCCGTAGTTACCTTGGTCGGCTCCCTGACAGTGCCAGCGGCAAACGACCAGTGCAAGAAGGAATGTCGCCACCCACTGTGCCTTTTACATGGTCCGCGGGTCAACTGACATACCGTGCTAAATGGCCATAAGTTCCGCTACGGTGCTCCGTGCCGATTTTTGTTTGTCACCGACTCACTTTATTCTCGTTGAGAACAAATTTCGCACAGTGTCGCACAGGCGACCCGTGCGACCTTGTGCGAGTGTAAAATACAAAACACGATTTGTCAACGTTGTCGGCGGGCCGCCGAAGCACCTCGGTTGTCGTCCCGGCCCGCGGCCGCCCGCTGACCGGCGCGCTGTGACCCAACCGCCGCGCCGGGAAACCTTTCCACCTGTTCTCACCGGCGCCGCACGCGTCTCCCGCTCGCACAATGCGCCAAATGGGATTTCACGGACGGCTGAGGACGAATGCGGCGCACTGGGGGCGAGCGCGGCGCACGCCCCGCCCGGTGTGCGTCACAATGGTCACCGTCGGCTCGCGCTCGCGGCGGTCGCGGCGCAGCGGCGGCGGTGGGTCTATGTCGGGTCAAGGGCGGGGAGGGCGCCGGCGGCGCGGTCACGCCTGGCTGGAGGGCGCCGGGGCGCCGCGGGGCACCAGGTGGTCGGCAGGTGCCGGCGCCCTCCCCCGCCGCCGGCTCCCCTCCCCGCGGCACGCACCCTCCTCCGCTGCTCCGACGGGGAGGGGCCGCTTCCGGCTGCAGGCCGCGACACCGCGACTCCGCGGCGGCGGCGGCGGCGGCGGCGACCCTTTGTTCGCGGCCTATGCAAATCGAGCGGCCCTTTTGCGCCACCGCTCACCATAACCCATTTACGCCTATCATCGGTTTTGTTTTTCAACCGTTCATCATGTCATTTTATCATGTTTGAATTGAGTACACACAAGTGTGTAAGAATATGTGCCTAAACTAGGGCGCATACCTACATTGGCTGGGTTTGCATGATATCATTTATTTGGTTCTGCGACACCTGAGCGAGCGTCATTTCAGCGAACGACATTTCAGCGAAACATTTTCAGCGATTATCAATTTAACCCGGCAGGCGGTGGGCCTACCAGCCACCTTCCACGCGGTGGAGGGGGGGGGCATTTTTTTTTGCCCCCCCCCGTATCTCCGAAACTACTGGAGGGATCCGGAAAATTCAAATGGCGTTCGATAGCCCTGTCAAATTTGTCGAAGGAAACCAAATTTCATTGACCTCGGGGTCACCGATGACGTCACAGGTCAGGTCAAAGATAAAATGTTTCACCGTTCACAGGGCTTCTAGGGAAAGCGCTATAACACCGAGTAAAACGCATTTTGTCGAAAATCAGCGATGAGGCGTCAGTTGTCTAGTACATATGTTGCTATTAGAGGTCACTGGTCATACCAGGTCAGGTCACAGGTCAGGTCACCAAAGGTCACCAAGGGTCACCACATGAGCCCAACTTTACTAAGGTTATGTGATGCATGTTTTATGGCCAGTTTTTCATTTCCAACTCAATGGTGTTGGTTTTAAGACCATCAGGTACGGTTTAGGTCACTTTCTGGTGGAGGTCAGGTCAAGGTCAGGTCAAAAAAGGTCAAATTTCAAAGTTGATATTTTTGCATAAAATGGGTATCGATTCGATGCAGCTCGTCACGGGGAGTCTAATGGTGGTCTTTGTTTTTCGCTACGAGGTCTAGAATTGCTAAAAACATGAGTTTGAAAATTTGACGTCATCAATTTTGAACAGTTTTTTCGCTATAACTTGGCCAAAAAACGAGGTATCGATCTCAAATTTGGTATGTAGATAGAAGGCGGTAGTGACTATCACATATATTCCGGCTTTTTCGAAATTCAAAAAACTTTTTGGATTTTTTTGCTATTATATTCAAAAGATCTAATTTTTTGATTTTTGGGGGTCAAAATCCAAAAAATTCGAAAAACTGAAATAACAGTTTTGTAGCCTTTTGATTTCACACCTTTTATGTCAAAAACATTTTTCTGTATCTCTAAAGCTGTAGGCCTGACAGCTCTTCCCGCGAAACCTTTTTTTTTTGGTCGAAAATGGCAAAAATGACGTCACTCTTACGTCATTAGCGGCCAACCTATCATAGCCTTTGGAAAAATTTTTGGTCACCATGTGCGCTAGCTGCTCCCGGGAGGGTACTGAAAGTTTGGTGACGATCGGCGCAGCGGTTCTCGAGATATATCGAAAAAAGTAAAGGGGGGGGGGGCAAAAAATGCCCCCCCCCCCCACCGCCTGGAAGGTTAAGCGATTGACCTTTTCAGCGATTGTCAAGTCCGCGAATTCAATCACAGCGATTATCAATTGGTGTGGGGTAGGCTCCCACTTCAGCCGTAGCCTGGGGGGTGTGGGAACAAGGGCCAGGAGGAGGAGGAGCCCTCCTGTAATTGGGCCACAAGTGCCTGTTGGAGGGAGGCCTAAATAAATAAAAATAAATAAAATAAAAAATTTGGCGAGGACCAGAATCAGCAAAACCAGATTGAGCGAGTATATGGTGGTCAATGGGAGACCAATTGAGCGATGCAGTTACAGCGAAACCGAACGCGACAAAAGTCAATCATTTGCTACTTCTCGGAAATTCTTGCCCTTGGAATACCCGTTTGGTAGGTGTCATGCTTGAAGCTGCACGCGGCAAAATATAAATTTGCTTTTAACCCGCGACCTGGTGGGGGGGGGGGGCTATTTTTTGCCCCTCCAGACTTTTCGATATATCTCCAGAACCGCTGCGCCGATCGTCACCAAACTTTCAGTACCCTCCCGGACATCAATTTTACACATTGTGACCAAAATTTTTTCCAAAGGCTATGATAGGTTGGCCGGAAATGACATCAGAGTGACGTCATTTTCTGCCGTTTTCGACCCAAAAAAGGGTTTCGCGGGAAGAGTTGTCAGGCCTATAGCTTTGCAAATACAGAAAAATGATAAAGACATAAAAGCTGTAGAATAGACGGGGCTACAAACGCGGCGGTCGGTCCGCCGCGCCCCGCCGGGCACATATGTGTCATCTGGCCCCTGTCCTGGTTCTCAGGCCCACGTGTTGTGCTACCACGAGGGCTGAGACGGGACGGGGGCCCGACAGTCTTCGACGGGACTCCACCGGTGCGCGACGGCCCGGTGCACGACGTGGCCGACGTGGCCTTACGTACAACGCGGCCAACGTGGCCCTACGAGAACGATTCAGTGAACGGCATTTGTGACCGCCGTATTTTGTGCATTTTAACCCTTCCATTTCATTCAAGAATAGACTTTTACTTATTTATGTATAAAAGCTTTTCATTCCCCCCCCCCCCTCCTCCCGCTTAACCCGCGCACCGACGGGGGTCTGCGCCAACTTCGTACCGACGGGGGGGGCGGATGACCGCCCCCTGAGATCTCGAGAACGGAGCAAGATAGCGACAAGCGGTAAACGGCATCGGATACGCACGGTCAATGTCTACAATTTTTACAATGGTCATTTTCAGGTCAGGTCAAAGATGACGTCACAGGGGTCGAAAAAGTCAAAATGGCGGCGCTTGATATGGAGAGAGTTGTTCTCGAATAACTTTCGAATTAGATTAGTCAAGGTAGGAACAAACTAAGGGCATCATCGTGATCCTCTCGTCAATCCGCATCGAATGATATATATGTTGACCTCGAAAAGGTCAAGGTCAAAGGTTGACCTCAGGTCACGTGACCTCGAGGTCATCATGTTTATCATTCGATGCGTCTTGACGAGCTGAACACCATGAGACCATCCGCGCGGCTGTATCTTGTTCCTGTACGGAGTTATGGGCAAAAAAACCGCTGGTGACATTTTGACATGAAGAGAGGATAGAGGAGCAGCTGTACGAAAAATCAGGCTTCTAGCTCTAACAATGTGGAGTGCAGAGCAGAAAGACTACCTGGGGGGGGGGGGGTGGAGGGTGGATACCACCCCCCCATGTGCGGGCGAGGCTTAATCAATCTCCCCCTCCCCAACCCCTGACCGGGCGAGGGATGAGATGTAGGTCCGAACCCTCCATTTTGTCGAGATATCCACTGAGATCATAGATCCGCCTCTTTCATCCCTGCACATGTCTGCTGCTCACTATGGTTTATACTGCCGAGCTGCACGCAGTGTCCGGAGGGATGGGGGAGTTCCAGACGGCCGGGGAGGGGTGAAAGGGGGGGGGGGGCTGCTGCACCGCCATCCGGCCCGTGTTATCACGAATCCATGGTGGCTTTCCGCTGACGTCATCAGTCTGGAACGCCGCGCCGCCGACTCACTGGACACGCTAGAGTCTCCTCGCTACGGGACAAAGCCCATTGGAACCCGGACATCCAAGTCCTTGACGAATGTAGAGAGCTCCCATTTTATTTTGTTGTTGTTGCTGACTAGCCTTTACGAGGCAACTGTGCACTTACATCTCAAGTGTTCCATGAACGCCCCGGGCTCCCCATTAGTTACAGTACGACGCCGGTGACCGGTAGGGGCGCTGCAGTCGCCCAGCGGCCCGAGGTCGGCGCTAACCGGTACCATGACTCAGCGGCGCCCCGCCCCGGGGTAATAACGTACTGCGCAGTTGCAGCGGTCCAGACCGGGACAAAGGCCGTCGGAGGAGCACGAGCTGCACTGCGTCCACCGGCCGGTCAGTGGACAGAGTGGGTGGTCCAACAGTGTGTGGACGGTACTGAGCTCTGTCCACCGGAGCCGACCACGGCGGAGGCGGCGAATATCAGGTGAGCTGGACCGACCTGTGTGTGAGGGGGGGGGGTCTGTGTGTCCCTGTGTCTGTTGTCTGAGTGTGTTTTGTACGTCTGTGTCTATAGTCAGACCATAGGTGTTTATGTAACGGTGTGTATGTGATTCTGTGAGTCTTTGTGTGTCTTCTCTGTGTGCTAGGTACCCGTCTTGATGTGTTTGGATGTCTGTGCTTCATTTGCCTGTATACTGTATGTTGGCGTGTCTGGCCTCTGCTAACATGCATTAACCCGCGCGGGGCTGGGGTCTCCAGCCGAACGCGCGGGGCTGGTGGGGGGTAAATTCCCCCCCCCCCTGTTATCTCCCGAACTAATGGTCCGGTTTGGAAAATTCGAACGCCAATCGAAAGATCTCATCACGAACAACTAAAAACGTGTACTTAATTTAAAGTTTGAGGTGAAGGTCAAGGTCAGGTCAAGGGTACAAATTGCAAGTTCCTACAGTATCGGCCTTGCACCGTAGTTGCCGAAGAATGGAGTCATGGACTGAGACTGATTGCCCAAAACGTGTTCTTAGGCTACCAAGACAATATTCGTTGCATACAATATCATTAAGAGGTCAAGGTCAAGGTCAGGTCAGGTCAGGTCACCAAAAACAAAATATAGAAAAGGGCATGTGCGACACATGTTTTATGGGTCATTTTACTCATAGAATTTAATAGGCACACTCAATAAGTGATATGGACCACCTCTGGATGAATTTCAGGTCGAGGTCAGGTCAAGGTCAGGTCAAGTGAGGTCAAATTTTGAAGTTGGTTGTTAAGGCCTAAAAAGATGTCTATCAGATGCAGTTTTTCACGGCGAATCGAATGGTGCTATTTTTGCTTCCGTACGAGGTCTAGAACTTCAAAAAAAAATCATTTTTAAAAAAAAATTTTGTGTGTCGTTACGTCATAAAATTTTGAATAACTCCCACATTTTTGAACCGATTCTTCTAAAAATTGGTAAGTATGTGCACATAGACCACTTATTTGACATATATTCCGGTTTTTACGATTCACTCAGAATTTTGGATTTTATAGCTATTTTCCCAAAAAAGTCAGTTTTTTTTTAAATTGGGTCAAAATCCAAAATTCTCAAAAAACTGAGATAGCCATTTGATAGACAAAGTAGAATTACGTATAACGTATTGTTACGTCTTGATTCCTTTAAAAATGAAGATGTTAGCGGCGTTTGAAATTTTGCCGTTTTTGAGGTGAAAATGGCGAACATGACGTCACTAAAACGTCAATTTCTCAAAAAGTTTCCGACGAATTTTGCTCAAATTTTCAGGGAACGTGTCAAATTGATGTAAGAAAAGGTACTGAAAGTTTGGCGGCGCTGCGAGCCGCTGTTTTTGAGATATTGCAAAAATTCGCGAGGAGGGGTAAAATTTACCCCCCCCCCCAGCCCCGCGCGGGTTAACTGGGGGGGAGGGCATAAGGGGCGGAACGGGGGGCACCGGGGAACCGTGTTCCCTTGATTTCGGCATTTTAACATAAGCCCTATTGGCTTTGCATGGAAAGAATGGAGCTAAAAGTCAGAAATGCCCCTTTAATTGAAGGTGTTCCGCGCTACTGCAAGGGGGCAAATGTCCCGCAGTGGCTGCCAGTTGCCTCTGCAGTCACGAGATTTTGCCCACCCTGTAGGAGTAAATATGAGGCACTTCAAATATTCTTCAAGCAGTCAAACCTGATGCGAAAATCAATCAATTTCCTGTTTCATTTTCATATTTTGTCGCCCGTGTTTACACTGTTCTTAGTATAATATCGTAGAGAACATCCAGCATCGTATCCACAATCTTGTGATTACCTTTAACTTAGGATACCCAGTGGAAACTTTTTAGCCCGCGCCCTGATGGGGGGTATTTTTGCCACCTCCCTCTTCTAGTCGTTTCGCATTATCTCTCAAACTAATGCGCCGATCGTCGCGAACATTTCAGTACCCTCTTGTAAATCGATTTTACACCTTGTGACCTTTTTCCACAGCCTATGATAGGTTGGCCGTAAATGACGTCAGAGTCACGTCATGTTCAGGCATTTCCGACCCAAAAGAGGTTTGGTGGGTAGAACTGTCCAGCCCAAAGTTTTGAAGATAGATAAAAATGTTGAAAAAAAAAACAAAAAGATATAAAACAAGCAGCGCTGCAAAACCACTATCTTCTTTTTTATATATTTGTTTTTATTTTGAACCACAAAATAAAAAAGTGTTTTTTGAAATAATCCCCTGAAATAAAAAACGGATCTTTTTGTTAGCCCGCGCCCCGTTGGCGCGCACAAATTGCTCGTGAAACACATATTTTGCTATTTGAGGTCACTGATACCAGGTCAGGTAACAGAGGTCAGGTCACTGATGATCACAATATGAAGGTGTCGCGTAATACATGTTTAATGGTCCATTTTACATGACAAATGTGCTTATGTCATATGTGGGTAATGCAACCTTTTAGGCCAGTTTTAGGCTACGTTCTGGTGAAGGTCAGGTCAAGTTCAGGTCAAACTAGGTGAAATTTTAAAGTTGATATTTTATAAAAATAAGTATTGATTCCATGCAGCTCGTCACGGGAAGTCTCATCGCGGTCTTTGTTTTGCGCTACGTGGTCAGAATTGCTAAAAATGTATTTGGGAAATTATGCGTCATCATTTAACCCTCGCCCATGTAGGGGGGGGGTTGGTGCAACCCCCCCTGAGATTTTTCGGAAATAGTGCAAAAACGGCGGCGCGCAGCGCCGCCAAATTTTCGGTACCTTATGGGGCAAACCTTGTGCATCTTTTGATAAAAAAAATTTGACCGGGTCATGTCAGGTCACGGAGTTATGACGTCACAAAGGGAACAGCCTCCGGCCGGATTTTCACAAACTGAGTGCCAACGCCCGAGGTTTCTTGCCGGTGGTACGGACATCGGTTGATGGATCGTGATGAAACTTCCCATGCATGTTGGGGCAAGTATTGGCTATCATATGGTATAAGAAACTTGACCGGGTCAGGTCAGGTCACGGAGCTATGACGTCACAAGAAGAACAGCGTCCGGTACTATTTTTGAAAAGCGCCCGAACCACTATTTTGCTAATTCTTGTCACCTCCATGGGAATATGCAGCAATATTAGCTTCTATAGGGAGCAAATGGACCTTCCAAATCTAAAAATACAATCAGATTTCAAAAATTTAAATTTTGATTTTTCGAGTTTCTGCCGCCGACTGTGACCTTGCCGACTTCTGGCGCTCCCAACGCGCCATTTTTAGAGCTAGGGAAACGAAATACATACCAAACGATAGAGAATTGATCAAGGAACACGATAGTGAAGGTTTCAAGTCGATATCTCCCACCGTTTTGCCGCAATCGCCGCGGAAAGTTGAAAAAAGTCTATTTTTCCGAAAATTTGACCTTTGACCGGTCAAAAGTAGGTCAAATGTTGACCTAGGACCAAAAACTATACCACCAATCGCGAGATCTCGGCGAGAGCAATCCGTTGGTCTTTTCCGCTAAGCTCTACGACGCTCCGTTTTCAAACGCCAATGGGGGGGGGGGTCGCACCAACCCCCCCCTGCATGGGCGAAGGTGGCAGATCGCCGTTTACGGGCGAGGGTTAAGAACAGTTTTTTCCGCTATAACTTAGCTAAAAAGAGAGGTATGTATCTCAAATTTGGTACGTGGATAGAAGACGATAGAGTCATAATATTTATTTCGTTTTCTATTCGAACTTCGAAAACCTTGTGGAATACTTTTTGCTATTTTATCCATAAACCTTTTTGGTCGAAAAATGCAGGAAATGACGTCTTTCTGACGTCATTTGTGGCCAGGCTATCATAGCTTTTGGGAACTGTTTGGTCACAATGTGTACATAAACTGAATGCCCGGAAGACAGTAGCGGTAGTTTTAGACATCGCAGCAACTTTCAAAATAGGCATGTCTTGGGGCCTTCAATCCCTAGACCCACTTGTGAAAGTGGGACATGCGCATGCTCCGGGGCAGCACAGAGAGGAGGACCGAGAGCGTGTCACACGTCGCTCCTCACGAACTGTCTGTCCATAACTGTCAGCTCTGCCATCGCCCTGTTGACCAACTGGGACGCCACGGTCTCTCATGTGCCAATAGTGCTGGCCGCCACGCACGTCACGCTAACCTTAATGACGTGCTACGGCGAGCACTCAGCAGCGCAAGACTTGAGAGTGTGCTGGAGCCCACCGGCCTTGACAGAGGAGATGGCCGACGTCCCGATGGGATTACACTCTTCCCTTTCAGCCGGGGGATGATCCTCGTATGGGACGCTACCTGCTGCGACACTTACTCATCAACGGCCATCATCAGCTCCGCGCTGAATCCTGGGAGCGCCGCCCGCTGTGCGGAAGAGCGCAAGCGCACTCGATATGCAGCTCTCTGTGAGCGATACGTCTTCGTCCCTTTTGCGGTCGAAACGTCTGGTGTCCTGGGTCCGGCTGCAGCCTGTCTCATGAAGGAGCTTCGGTCGCAGGAAGTATGACCACGCATCTGACCTGCTGCGGCGGCTGGAGTGGCTCAGCGCAGATCAGCTAGTGTCGTACCACACTCTCAGCCTGCTGCACAAGGTACGCCGCAGCGGGGAACCCGAGGAGCTGGCAGCCGGTCTCGCCACTGTGGCCGAGGCCCGCGGCCGCGACCGGGACGTGGTCACGCGACACTCGACAGGACCACCTGCTCCACGTGCCGCGGTGCCGCACCGAGATGGGGAGGAGGCGGTTTCAGTGCCGCGGGCCGGCCGCTTATAACGCGCTGCCGCCCGACCTGCCGCGGCTACCTCCGCACCTGTTTGGCTGCCGCCTCAGGCGGCACCTCAGAGTTGGAACCGATTTAAGACGCGACTGAGTTTTTGTGTGTATGTGTGTGCGTGCGTGTGACAGTTGTATGTTTGATCGTTGTCATTTTGTGCCTACTCTCCCATTGCCGATTGACGTTCATTTGTTTTATCACGTGACGAAAGGCAGTAATAGCCGCAAGTATATTGCGGATGTCCTTAATACAGTATGAGATGAGATGAGATGAGATGAGATGAGATGAGCTTGGCCGTCGGCTGACAGCCCGCACCGGCGACAAGCGCGAAACAGTCTGGCTCTCACAAAGAGTCTCCATCGCTGTTGCCAGAGGTAACGCTGCCTCTGTGCTGGCCACAGCCAGGTCAGCAGTGGGCACCAGACCGGGACCGTCGCCGCCGCCATCGTCCAGGCTGACCCCGACCAGGATCCCTCAGTCACTCCAGGCACCGGAAGAAGAGCCAGTTGCGGTGCCGCCACTCGATTCAGAGGCTGATCCGCCGACACACCCACCACCACCGACCCCTGCGGACGGCTTTCGTGAGGAGCGACGCGTGACACGCTCTCTGTCCTCCTCTCTGTGCTGCCCCGGAAGTATCCTGAAAAATTGGTGACGATATCTGACAAAACTGGTGTCTGGGCTGTATCAACTGGCGTCCGCGCTGTCTGCACTGCGGCCAGTGGCAGCCCCGCCCTACTGTGGTCACGTGATGTTGTGACCGCCGACCGGGTCAGTTCCCTGGCCGGCCGGGTCAGTTGGTGCTTGGCAGGCAGCCAATACACGTCTCTGGTGGACACGGACTCTACACCCACAATGGCCTCACTGAAGGCCTATGCTGACCTCACAGGGCCCACGATGGCTCATGAGAGCCCTTGAGTAAGCCTCTAAAGGCCCCCTCCGCTCTCAAGGAACCCATGCCGGTTTTAGTAAGCCTGTACCGGCCTCTGAGAGGTCATGCCGGCATCTAGGGGTCCGTCTCGACCTCAGAGGGCTTAACCCTCGCCGGCCAAGGGGGGGTGCCGCCCCCCATAGTTTTTTTTTCGCGATAGCTCCGAACACGCTGGCGATAGAGAGCTGAAACTTGGCATACCTAACCTTTGATCCAAGCCGCATCTTTTGACACCAACCGCATTTTTGGGTCAGGTCAGGTCACTGACCTATGACTTCATAAGTGAACCTTTGCACGGTCTTCAGATGTCGCAACTTCGCAACGCCCTCACTGCCAGAGGAGATGTCAAAAAGAAATGAAACTTGCAGGATCTAGTATCCATTATGAGTCTCACAACTTGTATATCTCGGATTTTTCCTAAAGGTCATATGAGGTCAGGTCATTTTCGTGACCTCACCATTATAAGTCAATGGGGAAAAATGAAAACTGCTATTCTGGCGCCGGGAACGATCTCCAACTATCTCAAGCACACAGAATCGTGATTTGATGCATTCCTTGCAAGGTTAGATGCGTCACTTTTGCATTGTTGACCTTCCGTGACGTCATTTATGACGTCATCAAGGTCATATTAGTTTTTCGTCAATAACTCCCGATCAAATTGAGCTAGCGAGTCGAGAAAGCCACCAATGGACTCAGGAAGACCTGCCGAATCGAAGGATATGCGACATGACCTCTTTCGACCAACTTCGTGACCTGGGGGTGCTGACCTGACCTTGACCTGAGGTCAACACCCTAAGTTGACCTGACCAAACAAAAAGTATACCATTCGACGCGCCTGAGCGAGGCGAACACGATGCTGCCAAAATCGCGGATCTGCGGCCGTTTTTTGCGAAGTTATTCACCAAAAACTGAACCGTACCCTGGGGCACTTGACCTGACCTCAGAGGTCACCGGTTGACCTAGGACCTTAAAATTGGGTACCAATCTCTGCGTCTTGTAACGGCGCACACGCTCGTTTTTTCCGCGACGCGCTAGCTCCACCAGGGGCGAAACGGCGAGGGGGGGTCGTACCCGCCCCGCCCCCCTCGGCCGACGCGTATGTAGAAAACCAATAGGTCCGGCGAGGGTTAAACATGCATAAGGGCTACAGTCTGACCATCGAGGCCATCGAGATGGCCTCTGATGTCCCAGCGCCAGCCTTAGAATTCCAGAAGACAGAGGGCTCCACGTTGCCTAAGAAGGCCCGCATTGTCCTCAGATAGCCCCAAGCTGTTCTCAGAGGGCCCCAATTTGACCTCAGAAGACCCCACGCCGCTGGTCTTAGAGGACCCCACAGGGACCACTTTGTCCTTATATTGCCCCACGCTGAAAGGGCTACGTCTGAAAGGGCTACGCACTGGCTTCTTTGGGCCCCACGTCCACATTTGGCCATTTAGGGTCCCAAAGCGGACCCTAAAGGGCCATATTGCTAGCCTCCGGGGGCTCGACTTCGTCTTATGAGCGCCCTACGCTGGCCTCGAAACCTTTGGTAGAAGTTTGTGTAGACATGTTTACGGATGCCTTAACCCTCGCCGGCACAGGCCATTTTGAGTCCTTCGACGGCACAAGGGGGGGGGGGGGGGGGGGTTGGTTGGTACGACCCCCCTCGCGTTTGGCCCCTGATCGAGCTAGAGCTTCGCGGAAAAAACGAGCGTGTTGCCCGTCACGAGAGGAAGCCAATGATACCCAATTTTAAGGTCCTAGGTCATCGGGTGACCTTCCAGGTCAGGTCAATGACCCGAAAACCGGGAAAATCGGGACCTGTTAGAAAGTCGTAAAGTGTGGCTGCTATGTGGTTTTCCGGGGTGCTGATCACGAATATCGTGTAAGTTTTGATCAGAGATGATGTCTTCAAGCATTTAGACCAGGTCGGGTCAGGTCAGGTCAGGTCAACCGGTAGGGGTTGTGACGGGTATTCGTAATACGTGTCAACCGCCTCGGACAGCTTCGTAACATGTTACGAAGGCACCAAAACAACTTCGTAAATGTTCAAATGGTTGCTAAATTCGAATTCAGCTCCAAAAACTAGCATAGAAACATGTAAAACTCGAAAAAGTGAACCGAGGTCACCCGAGGTCACCAAAGGTCAATGACCTGACCTGACCTTCAGGTGACCTTGACACCCACCCTAATGCATGGGAGCAACATCAAATCACATGTTTGAACGTTTGAAACCACGAAAAGCTTGCAAACGCGCGGCTAATGCGAGCCGACATGCGCCGAACCGCGATTTCGGCCAAACATGGTCACAGAAAAGAGGGCACAGGTCAAAGGTCATTGGGGTCAGGGTCACGAAATTTTCAGGGTAGGTGTAAAATTGATCAATGCGAGGTTACTGAAAGTTTCGTCGCGATCGGCCGCTTTTTACGCGAGTTATTCGCGAAAAACCTTAGGGGGGGTTGCATCAACCCCCCCCCCTGTGCCGGCGAGGGTTAACTGATTAGGCAGGATTTGGTATACCTTTTCCTACGGTATATATAATATGTATGTTACGCGTGGTGTAAAGGTCCGCTTATACGGTGTATATTAGGTGGTATATGACATTCTGGAGTCGGGTTTGTCCCCATCTGCCCAGTCGAAATTCCTTAGCCGAGGTCCTGCTGTGTGACTGTATGTGTGACTGTCTGTGTGACTGTCTGTGTTACTGTCTGTGTGACTGTCTGTGTGACTATCTGTGTGACTGTCTGTGTGACTGTGTGACTGTCTGTGTGACTGTCTGTGTGACTGTCTGTGTGACTGTCTGTGTGACTGTCTTTGTGACTGTCTGTGTAACTGTCTGTGTGACTGTGTCAGTCACTAGATTTGAACAGGGGCGAGATGTCGTATGAGTTCACTTACCCTATACATCTGGTGTTTTTAAGTGCATCAGGTCAGGAGCTAATCGCCAAAGGTCGAACCGGCCCCTCACCGTCCGCGTTATGAAAACGGCCTGGCCAGGGGTAGACTTTCGAAGTGATAACGTTTTTTTATTATCTCTTTTTTTGCGAAAAACTAGTAACGATAGTCAATTTCTATATTGGTTACCTACATAAGACCTGTCTGCCTGACTGCCAAGCTTGCCTGCCTGGTATGCAACAATACGGGTTGCATGACAAAACATGTCGTAATACGTAATGACATGTCGTTTTGTGACGTGATTAGACACGACGCTGCACGACATGTCGTAATGCGTACGACGTAACGCTACGTACTAGGCCACTGATTTATGATGAGTAGAAACGTAAAAAACTGTAATTCTGCGTTCCAGATGGAGATGACAGATGTGCGTGAAGACCTGGCCGCCCTTCGCCGGGAGGTGTCCGCCCTTCGTGAAGTGGTGTCCGCCCTTCGTGAAGAGATGTCCGCCCTTCGTGGAGTGGTGGCCCCCCTTCGTGAAAAAGTGACCATTCTAAACGAGGTGGTGGCAAAAGACAATAAGGAGACAAAGAAGCTCAAGGGGGAGTACGCCGCACTTCACGATGCGATGGTCCGCCTGGAGCAGGCAGTGGTCGAAGAGCGGACCACTCGCCAGACCGTGGTGGAGGATCTGCGGCAGGAGGTCCGCCGGCGAGCGGCGCCATCCGGCCGTCCCCAGGGGTGAGACTGGGAGGCAGCAGGGGTTGCTGTGGGGGCTGAGATATTTTGGAGAGCTGTCATGGTGAGAAGTAAACTTTCTTTGTAGAAGGTGTAAGAAATAAACCACCACTAGGTCTTTTAAGGTCGAGTAGCTTGTAATTGTAATTTCCGCCCAATTAAAGAAACATGCCTTGAATTCGTACCATCTTCTGCAAGTTAGCCGTTTAGTCTCGATCGTATTGTTCCAGCTTTCGACAGACGTCCTGCAATCTGCATAATGTTGGCCAGTTCGGGGCATTATATCCCGCACGTATTTACATGTCGTCATCAGCAATCGTGTCACAAAATCTAATCGGTCGTATCAAATCGTTCAGATTCGTATGAAATCAACTCTGAACGATTTTATTCAACCGAATAGATTTGACAACATACTGTTGCTGACGACGATATGTAGGGGAGAGAGGTCATATTGCGCCATGTTCTTAAATGCGCCACACCTTCCTCCTGTCCAAAATTCGATTCGAATGAATGCTCGAATGTGTGCATTTACTTCACCACCAATAACTCGCTCTTATTCCGGTCCATGGGGGCAGGTGAGGTGTCTCAGCTTTCTCGCAGACCATTTTTTGTGATTTCCTCTATTTTCTTACGCGAAACAGTCTATTTCGACCTTTGCTAGTGTCATGGTTTATCTTAGAGATAGTGATTCAACTAATAATCATTGTTAATTGCTCGTTTAATGGTAGTTTTGAAAGTTTATCATCACCGTGGCTTCGCTGTCCTCGCCATATTTGAAGCTCATGAAAAATGTGTTCCAACCGTAATTGCGTCCACCCTATTTGCGCCCTATTCTTCAGCCCAGAGAAACAGCATCTTGTGGTTGGGACACATTTCATTGAACACTTTGAATATTAGAGCGCTCACCTTACCATTACCTTAGCCTTCACAGCATAAATGGTTAATGGGCTGACACGTCCAAATAGGCTACTTAGTTAGGTGGCAAACCGTTGTTTTTAATAGGGCGCTTTTACATGAGAGGCATGGGCGCTTTTTGATGGGGTAGTCCGTAAATGCGCCCTTTGCAGGTGTGTCGGAAAACTTTTCTCTTGTTATTTTTTTATGGGTGTGATACAAATTAGGAGTTGTAATTTGATGCCAAAATAACTGAGGTACAATTTGAGATATCATCAAGCATGACAGCTGGTCAACTTTAGCCGCAATAGGCCGATATCCTTAACCCTATTAGTGGCAGGCTCCTGGCTACCCCTATTAGTGGCAGGGGGGGGGGGGCTGTTTACGACCCCCCTGATATCTCGAGATCTAACGGGTCGATTTTCAAAATTCAAACGGCATTCGATTTCGCTCCACGTGATCTACATTTCTAAAAAATAAAAATAAAAAATGTCAATAGGGGGGGGGTAGAGGGGGGTAAAAACGGGCAAATTGCAGATACATTTTAGACTGTTTATCACGGCCAGGTTTCTGAACCAATCTTAACGCAACTTTTGCCGATCGATAGAGAATGAACCAGGAATTCACATGGATCCTAAAAATATGCATTTTCAAAAATCATAGGCGGATACAGATCATTGAGATTGGGGGTACACAAAAAGTATAGTAAATAAGGTTTTTGTTGGTACTGTTTCTAAAAAGGGTGGCAATGGTCTTGTTATGTTACAATTTTCTTATGAGAGAACGACTACAATTGTATTGGTCATGCATAGGCGGTGTCAGGGCACCTATGTTGGGAGGTAAAACATGACCCCCCTTTTTGGACGCCTGGATCCACCTATTATAGCAACAACGTGTCAAAAGAGGATGCACAATAATTTTGTATATGTTATCACATGATACCTTTCATTCACTGTTCGTAAAACTGGTGCAGCATCCGATGCTGCACATCGTGATCTTCGCCCAAATGACTCGCTTCACGAATAGGACCCCCCAATTCCCAGTGCTCTGGAGCCGCCCCTGGTAAAGTTATGAACTTCAAATTTTCAGGGAATGTGTCCAATTTAGTTTTAGGAAAAGTCAGAAAATTTCAGCATCGTAGCTTCAGCGGTTTCGGAGATATTCCCGAAAAAACATGAGGGGTGGATGAAAACAACCCCCCCTGCCACTAATAGGGTTAAGGTGGCGCAATATGACCTCTCTCCCCTACCTAAATGCATATCGGATCATCAAAGGAGCCAACTAAAGTTGTGAACTTCTTTTGCCTTTTGATTTATGTTCTTTTTCTTGTCTTTTCAGTAAAATTACAAAAGCGTTTCATGACGTCACGGTACAGACGGAGCCGCAGCCACCGGCAGACAGTGATACCACAGTGCTGAGAGAGGCGCTAAGGATCGTGACGACGTTCGACGCTCCGTCAGACCTTGGCGAGGACCAGCTGACGGCGCTTCTGCAGAGTCTTCCTCGCTTGGAGGAGCTGACCGTCAGGGTGCCGTCCTTCGGAACGGGGCGGTGGCTGCGGCTGCTGCCGACGTCACTGAGGACGCTATACGTTGCCGGTGAGAAGTAGGTAGTCGAGGAAAATCGTACTGTTACTTCTGATTCTCTGAATGGTGGTAGGTACTTACATAGTATGTACTTAAGTACATACATAAAGTAACAGTTTCAGTGATAAACGTTCAGCGGACATATGTGTGCCATGCTACCTACATGCTACACAAACATTGGCCACTGTATTGTACCTACTTTTAAGGTTGACGGCGGCCCGTCCGGAATGTCGCCGCATCCGGTCCGGATGCGGTCCGGATGCGGTCCGGATGCGGAGAGCTAATAAATGTTTCCTATAACTTATTACCAAATAAAATATTGCAAGTAACCAGCAGCGAATACTCTTGCCATTCTAAGGAAATAATTTTTACTTACTTCATGATGATCGAGTTCCAATTCTTCGTACAATTCACAATGTTTGCCTCCGATACGGCCCCAAACCACGTCTGTTCCGGACGTTCCGGATGCGTTTTCCGCAGAAAAGTTCAACGCGTCGGACATCACTCTTCCGTCTCCGTAGCAACCGCATCCGAAACGCATGCGGAGAGCTGACGGAAAATCAACAGCTGATTGCCGTTCGGATGCGGTCCGGACGGAGCGCACACGATTTCCGTACGGACCGGATGCGCCCATAGGGTTCTGTGTTAAATTCCGTACGGTCCGCACGCGTTCCGCACAGTGGACGGCGGCCATGACCTGTATGTACTGAACCTGTATTACCTGTATGCACTGAACTGTATTAATAAACTGACGCATGTATAAGCATAGCGCATGCATTGTGCACAATGTTCAATTACTGTCCAACAGTGCGGATCGACCCTGGTCAGTGTCGTCTGTGTCAGGGTTTGACACCACAGTGTCAGCCGCCTCCCGACCCGGCAGCAGCTCCGTCCGACTGCTGTCAGCTAACACAGCTCTGTCCGACAGGGCCGGAGGTGACGAAGCCGAGGTGGCCGGGACGGTACGGGAGTGGTCTGTCGGTATCTCTCCAAGGGGTGGCTGCCGACACCATCAGTCACCTGGCCACGGAGCTGGGGTCACGGATTACCCTACTAGTCACGGATGGTGAGCAGCGGTTGAAGTTACTCATATATGAATGGCTAGGAAGGGATAAACAGCAGTAGCTGTTCCGGCGCTCAGCGTTCGCTGGCTGTGACGTCACGGCCACCCCGGCGGGCCGCGGCCCGGCTGACCTCCAGTGACCTTGAGACGCGCTGCCGGCCGCGTCAGCTGATTGTCGGCGGTGCGCGGCGACCCCAAACGCTGCCGGACTGGTCAGGTGCAGGTGGCGCTGCCGGGCGCTCCTGAACGGGGCAGGGGCCAGGGGCGACACAGGGACACGAAGAACAGGAAAACTGGTCGGCGGCACCGCTCCTTGCTTGTTATTTTTGCTCTAAGGAACTACTTTTTTCTAAAAAAAAATGTTCATAAATAACGTGGAGAAGCAGTTCATCCTTGAAAATCTGAAGCCTAAATCAAACCAAGAATAACTGGATGCAACACATATTACATGTATTGCAGGTAATGCTGCCTCATCCTAAGGTAAGACGGAAGCCATAAGCCATGGTAAGCCGTAGGATGACAAGTCGTGTACCGTGTGGTGAATGGTGATGGTCAATGATTTGGGCCTGTATTGGACGTAAAATTTACGCTACAAATTTTATAACGATACAAAATTGAAATAATTGGCTACACATAAGTGCTGAACAAAATACTTAAGTGAAAAGGTTCAAAAACTGTCAGATTGATTAACCCTCGCCCGCACATGGGGGGGGGGGGTGGTTGCCACCCCCCCCCCCAGGTAGTCTTTCTGCTCTGCACTCAACATTTTAGGAGCTAGAAGGCTGATTTTTCGTTTAGCTGCTCCTCTATCCTTTCTTGATGTCCACTGAAAATTTCAAGTTTCTGTGGTTTTTGGTTTCGGAGATATGACCTTGTTTTTCAGGTCATGTCATGACCCAAATGGCCAATTCTCAACATCTTGCGTTGGCTATGGGCCTTGTGAGCTTTTAACACCTTGATTTCGGCCTTTTATGCCAATCCTACCTCCCACCTATCATGAAACATGTTGTTCGACGATGTACAGAGGTCAAGGTCAGGGTCAAGGTCAACCTAGGTCATCTAAGATAATTGCGTTTTAGGCAAGCTGAATTTACTTTTTTTGAAATTTTTTGACTACATTTTTGGTAAAAGCTTCTCCGATCATGATTTCATGTAATATGGACACATAAACAATCGGTGCACACATCAGTATACACACAGACACACACAGACATACAAACACATATTATTGACCTTGACCTAACTTGACCTGAGATGACCTCAACAGCAAAAACCTGGTCGGGTAGTGTGACAAAGAGGTTCTAGCTGGCTTGGCACCAGAAAACGGCATCGTCATCGGTATATGACAAGCAGCGCGCTTGATATCCAACGGTGACCTAAAACAGCAACATTTTTTTGTTTGACCTGACCTGGAAGGTCAATGACTGACCTGAGAAGGTAAAACTGGGTATCATTGGATTCGTCTCTTCCCAAAGAATCTTTTTGGTCTTTACCGCTAAGCTCTATCTCCAACAGGAACGAAACGGCGCGGGGGGGGGGGGTGGCAACCACCCCCCCCCCCCATGTGCGTTCTAGGATGGGAAAATGGCATGTGCGGGCGAGGGTTAATTGACATCTTGAAAACATGCCTTTTTCGGAATATAATGTACTAATTAATGGTGATTTTTGTTTTGAATGTCAAAGACCCATTATCATTTTATTTGTTGAATATTCTGTTACGGAAAGTCGCAGTAATTTATGAAATTTTCATCGTTTTGATGAAGTACATATTTACTCAGACACGGAATTATCACAGCATTGTAGCCACCAGACATGTGCATGGATCCGAGAAAATGGATCTGGGATCTGATCCCACGGATCCTGATCTCGGATCCGACGGGATCATACAGGGGCGTCGCCACGGGTCCCCAACTTGTACGGACACATTCTGTCAGCCGTAATGCTCGTCAGATGTGTTAACCCACGCGGACCCAGGGAGGGTGTTTTTCGTCCTCCCCTCCCCCCCCCCCCCCCCCCACACACACCTCGGACGAATAGTTGCGATAGCCCCGAATGCCTAGTGGTTTCGGGAAAAAATACAAACACATTTTTGATACCAACCTACATTAGGTCAAAGGGTTAGCGACATTAGGTCAAAGGTTAGGTTAGCGACCCCGAGCTGCGGCTTTTTTGCAGATTTCTTCACCAAAAAAGGTCCTAGACCTAAAGCAGTGGTACCAACGCATTCGTCATGTCAAGACGCGTCGAATGACATATATGTAGGTTGTTTGAAAAGGTCAAGTTTTATGTTGACCTCATGTGACCTCGAATGGCCTTTGGTTGACGTTTACACATGATCAGTCTCATTTGCTGTATTTGAAGTCACTGGCCACGATTTTGTCATTCCTTTTGATCTAAGCATTCATTTAGAGCCTCAGGATGACAAAAGTGACATGATTAAATGTAATATGACTGACGTATCAGTAAAATAGCATTTAGAAGGATACAGGGTGTAACGAAATTATCCGGTAACCTTCTTCCCGCTGCGATTAAGAAACAAGACAGCCTGAGGTTTTCCTTTTGATGAAGATATCGCCAGCTTTCATAAAATCATAATTAAAAATCCCTGGAACATTCCAGCTACTGGGTTTTCAAGCAGTAGGTTTGATGTGGACAGACGCCGTATTAGCATGTGCTCACATACAGTTGGGCGGTCCTGCAGTGCCGGGTGTCCCCTTATTCACCTCCCGCTGGACAAAAATCCTTAAGATCTCTATGAAATCAGGATGACAACTATTTCCAAGTCGTAGCCCGTTAGTTCAAAAGGATAAGAGCTTCTTTCGGCGTCACTTCTCATTCTCCTACGGACTTAATGTAGCGCTCCAGTCTGCACGAAGGCAGCGTGGCTTGAATCAAACATCAGTGCGCTTTTAGAAATCGAGCCCTCCCGTGCCGTCCGGTTGAGCGGCTCCAATGTTTGCCAGGATGCTGCTTCGGTAATAATCGTCACTGAAGGTGGTCTTCTGTGACACAATGCACAGCTGGAACATCGCACATAAGCTGAACATGTTCCAGCCTGGAATCCGGCCAAGATCCAGGTCGGACCTGGATCTTGGCCGGATGTTTGACGCCGGTGACGGCCGGCACGTTTGAGTTACTGGCAGCCAACACAAGGCCGCTTTGACGGCTCAAAGGACAATACAGCGCGAATAGCTGCCCACTCCACCAAACGCTCATGTCTTCCTTCGACCAGTGCAGTGGATGTGTCTTGGTGTGAGGCCAAAGGTGGTGCACTAGCTATTTTCCCGTCCATTGCGTTGTCTTTTTCAGTTTGATGGGCAGAAGAACCAAGTTAAGGGGTGGATAGTGGTGGGCCATGATGTGGGCCTTCTTATTATCTGCCTTGCCAAGAATACAAGTCAATCTGCAGATTGATTGTTGTCGTTTCCTTGTCGCTATCTTGACAACTCTCCTAACCACTTTAGCGTTCGCGGCCGGGCTGAGTTCTTATAAAAAAGATGTCCGAATAATTTCGTCACACCCTATGGCCTATACCTATACCTACTCTTGCGTGACATTGACTTCGGGGCGGCCTTGGATCGTAACTTTAACCACAAATAGGGGGTCTGATAAGCTTTAACCTGCTTCAAACATGTGCGAAGACTGCATTTTTGCGGTCGACGAAACTTGTACGGACATTCCGTACAAGTTTCCGGGCCTTCCAAAACTTGTACGGACACTGTCCGTAGTGTCCGTAGTGGTGGCGACGCCCATGGGATCATAGATCCAGCTCTGTAATTTATCGAGAGATCCGTAGGGATCACAGATCCGAGTCTCATTTTTTGCTTGAGATCCAGTGAGATCATAGATCCTCACTTAGTTTTTGGCAACACATATATCCCAAAAAAGCACTTGTTTCAACTCACAAACGTTCTGTTTTAGTGATTTTATGCGATCGCACGTCATAATCCATAGTTTGTGTCACTTATTGGCATAGAAACCCTTTAAAACATAGTTTCAAATGTGGTACATGGTGGGATCCACTCAGATCATAGATCCATGTTCTTAATTTATCGTCAGATCATGTGAGATCATAGATCCAAGATGTATTTTTCACGCCGGAGAACCTGTACTTTGCTTCGAGATCCACTGAGATCAAAGATCCATCACTCGGATCCATGCACATGTCTGGTAGCCACAAACAATTTTCACTCTGTGTTTTCTATACCTGTATGTAGGTAAGTGTACTATGTTTGACCTAGACAAATGCCTGACATTGGTTCAATCACCTTTCCAGCACAAATTACTACTATTCCAAGTCAACTTCGTGGTGCCATCATCAGGGTGGACCCAAACACTGTCATCCTTCCGGCCGGAGTCGGTGACAGCGAGCTGACGGAGCTGCGGAGCTCACGGGAGACTGTGGAGCGGCTGTCAGTCTCCGCCGCCGACCTCCCGCGACTGAGGGAGCAGCTACCGGAGGGCCTCGAGCGCCTCAATGTCAGAGGTGAGATACCACGGATCATACATGTAATGCCGGTATAATGGACAATGCATATAGATATACAAATGGACAGAGAGACAGACGGCAAATGGACGAACTGTTCGAATTCAGCCAACATCTTACAGCCTTGTTTGTGTTATATGGTATTGTTAGAGTGATGCAATGCATGCATTTGCATATAGTGTGAGCATCGTGCATGCATGAAATATTATTGTAGCAATTATTGTAATTTGAAATGGTTTCATTGCAACCACTGCGAACCATATATTTATGTTGTCTACCAACCTGATCCGTTACTATACCATGACTGGCTGCCCAGTGCCTAAGCCAATGTGCCTTGCAAAATTCGTAATACTTATGTTGCTCATATTTGCATATTTACGTTAATGTATGCTGTTGCTAAAATATCGTTGTGCAGCCGCTCGGATGTGTCAGTGCTGGCTGTGTCAGTGTCTGACACTCTGGTGTCAGTGGTGCAGCGGGGAGCTGGCGGCAGCTCTGTCCGACTGCAGTCAGCTGACACAGCTCTGTCCGACAGGGCCGGAGGTGACGGAGCCGAGGTGGCCGGTACTGTACTTGGATGATCTGTCAGTGTCGCTCCAGGGGGTGGCTGCCGACACCATCAGTCACCTGGCTGACCTGGGACGGACGGTCACACTACTGGAGATATACGGTGAGCAGCGGCAGCACGGACATGCCGCTGATATACCAGGTCAGGGAATGGCGGACACCGAGTAACGGTGTGCCGTTGTCGCACCTCATGGGGACAGGCGTGATACATAGCCAATGTGCCTTGTGAAATAATGAAGCCAATTGAGCTCCAAAATGGAGGAGGACTGTACAATCAGTGACATATTCGCTCATAGTTAGTTGAACATACATATTGCGATAATGCAATGTTCAATGCACTTTAATGCATTGGCTGAACTGATTGCGTATCCATAGATAACATGAACATTCATGTTATCATGTTCATTCATTCAATCATATTGTCACATTCATTCATGTGTATATGGCATATCATATAGTACCACTGTTATACCATGGCTTACGGTGTCCAAAAAACATGCAAATTCATAGCTGTTTCGTTTCTTCCATATATCGACATGTATTGCAGTCCGCTGCTGATCCTGTCTGTATGTGTGTCTGTGTGTTTTCCAGACTGTCCTGATCTCACGGCCGGCAGTCTGGAGCCCCTCACCAGGTGCCCTAAGCTGGGGGATCTCACCCTGTCCGGCGGCATCACTGACGCCGTGAGCCTGGAGCCCCTCACCAGGTGCCCTGAGCTGCGGATTCTCACCCTGTCCGGCGGCGTCCCTGACACCGTGAGCCTGGAGCCCCTCACCAGGTACCCTGAGCTGGGGTGGCTCACCCTGTCCGGCGGCGTCCCTGACGCCGTGCTGGACAGTCTCAGCGGCTGCCCCGGGCTGGTGGTCCTTACACTGGGGGACCGCCAGCGGCCGGCAGAGACGGCCTTCACAGCAGCAGCGGTCACCAGGTCAGTCAGCAGACACTGGCGAGGGGTGTCCTGTCAGACACTGACACTGACACACTGACACTGACACACTGACACTGACACACTGACACTGACACACTGACACTGACACACTGACACTGACACACTGACACTGACACACTGACACTGACACACTGACACACTGACACTGACTCACTGACACTGACACACTGACACTGACACACTGACACTGACACACTGACACTGACACACTGACACTGACACACTGACACTGACACTGACACTGACACTGACACACTGACACTGACACACTGACACCGACGCACTGACACTGACGCTGACACACTGACACTGACGCATTGTCACTGACACCAACACACTGACACTGACACACTGACACTAGCACATTGACACTGACGCATTGTCACTGACACCAACACACCGACACTGAAATACTGACACTGACACTGACTCGTACGTCCGGCCGGCTGGTGCCGCTGTGTTTGTGTGTGACGGCTCTGCTGCTCTGCTCTGTTACAGACTGGTGAAGTCGTGTCGGGAGCTGATTGGGCTGTACCTTCACTGCACGGCAGACACCGGCCGGGCCGTGCTGACCGCCCTGAAGGAGGCGGACCTGGGCCGGAATAGTTATGACCGGCCCCGTACCATCCGTCTCCATGTCCCCGGTAAGTGAGAGGGCGCCGCGCGCCGCGCCTCTGACCAGTCAGTCCCTCACAACAGACGCTGCACGGCGCCACCGGCCTCTCAGACACACACACTCGACCACCGCCGCCGGCCACGTCACGGACGGTGACGTGACGCGTCACGGCCACCACGGCCGACGGTGACGTCACGTCAGCCGTCTGTCCTGTGTGTGACGTCACTGGCCGGCGGTGTGTGGACATGGCTGTACCGCTGTCTGTGTGTCTGTCTGTGTGTGAGGTGTCCACCTCAGACGTGTCTCTGCTCTGTCCACAGAGGAGCTGTACCGTCAGCTGAAGAGCCAGGAAGGCGATGGGGTCAAAGTGTGGAAGTGGGGGAAATGATGCGCTGCACTACCGACCGTGCAGTGATGAGCTGACTGCAGAGAGTCAGAGGCCGAGCCAGTCGGCCGGGGCCGCCAGCTGACTGCTGCCGTGTGTGCTGCACCAGCCGGCACTGAGAGCGGCGCCGGTCAGCCGGCACACGGCCCCCGTGTCCGCTCTAGTGTAGTGATCTAGTTGTAGTAGTTGTAGTGAAGATGTAGTAGTAGCACACGGATGTGATGTAGTGGGTAATTACCGGGTGGGTATTGTGGGTAGTTGGACGGGAGATGTGATGTAGTGGGTAATTACCGGGTGGGTGTTGTGGGTAGTTGGCTGGAAGGATGTGACCTGGTGGGTAATTACCGGGCGGGTATTGTGGGTAATTGGACAGTGAAAAGTGATGTGACTGAGTGTAGAAACTGATCGTGACATTGCGATATTTTGTATATAGAACCCACATCTTAGCTTAGCTGTATAAATGGGGGCACTCCTGGACCGTCCGACTCGGTTCACCGCGCCTGGTCCCGGCGGCACGGCCGGCCTCGGTCACGTGACCGTCCCCCGGTGAAGTCGGACGGATCGGTCACGTGACCGCCGTGCCGGGTCGGGCGGCTCGGTCACGTGACCGCCGTGCCGGCTCGGCTCGGCGGGCAGTCGGACGGGGACGCTGTCTCACGGGCACCGAGGTGCACAGTAGTGATGTCAATTACGGAAAATCAGAATACCGATACCTAACTAAATACCAACGAAAATCTCGGGAAAATACCGAAACCAAACCAACTTGGGAAAATGAGGGAAATACCAACTTTTACCGATTTATTAGCCTCTTATACATTAGCGAGGGTTTATGATACCAACAAAACACCAAATACATTACAATTGAAATACCAAGTAGCAAGTTGGTATCGGTTTGGTATCGGTATACCAAAACGTTGGTATCCGATTGACATCTCTAGTGCACAGCGCGCCATGTTGAGTGTTCTGGATGCGTGTTGTGACACTCACACGGACAGGTATATATCAATATACTACTGGATAGGCCGTCCGAGCTGTATAGGCGGTGTCAGTTGAGACGGCGGCTCACAGCCGCGCCCGCCCGGCCGCTCCGGCAAGCGGGTGTCTGTTCTACTCTCTGTCTACTATACATACACGAGAGGAGTTGCTTGAGCTGTATCATATATGTAGCCGTCAATAAACCAATGAGCAGTGTGCCGAGTGTTTGTCCGACTGCACCGTCCGCCCCGCTCCGCTGTGAGCCGTCATTTTCCGCCCCGCTCCGCTGTGAGCCGTCATTTTCCGCCCCGCTCCGCTGTGAGCCGTCATTTTCCGCCCCGCCCCGCTGTGTACCGTCATTTTCCGCCCCGCCCCGCGCGGTCACAGACAGTCCGCCCCGGCGGAGCGGAGCGGCAGTCTCCGTACACCGTCTCCGTACCCGTCATATACGGACCGTACAGCGGCCGTACACACTGCAGACACTGCAATGACACACACACGGACAGACACGGACAGACACCGAGGCACCTCGACACGGACACACACGGAGACACCTCGACACGGACACACGGAGACACCTCGACACGGACACACGGAGACACCTCGACACGGACACACACGGACCTACACGGAGACACCTCGACAAGGACATACACGGACACACACGGAGACACCTCGACACGGACATACACGGTCCCCGGCTTCTGCCCGGCCATATCCACTCGAGCTACAGCGAAACAGGTGATGAGTGAAGGTAAGAACTACTCGACTGATGTGGTATTATAATCAGCACCAAGTCCCCCCGTCCCGGCCATACAGCGGTGCGGCGCGGCTGCAGAGCTGTCTGCCGACTGGTGCGGTGCCGCCGGCCGTGGCCGCTCGTCTGTCGGCGGCCCGGACTGCAGCCGGTGGCCGAGCTGCCGGTCCCGGCGACTCGCTGCCGGCTGGGCTGACCGCCGTCAGGCACCTGAGCGGTGCTGGCCGGCCCGAGCCGGGACTGCGGCGCGCCGCGGCACCTCAGCGACGCACCCTCTGGGACACTGAGCGGCGCGCACCGGTGGGACTGTCTCTGCCGACTGTCCCTACCCCAGGAGTGGGACCGGTGGGACTGTCTCTGCCGACTGTCCCTACCCCATGAGTGGGACCAGTGGGACTGTCTCTGCCGACTGCCCCTACCCCATGAGTGGGACCGGTGGGACTGTCCCTGCCGACTGTCCCTACCCCAGGAGTGGGACCGGTGGGATTGTCTCTGCCGACTGTCCCTACCCTATATGTGAGTGTCCGTTTCTGCGGCGGCCGCTGAGCCCCCAACCCTGTCCTTCTCCACTCCCCAGTCCGCTGTGCAGGGTCGCTCGAGGTCACGTGGTCAACTGGACTGTCTTCTCCAATGCACCTTGTATTCGTCGATCGACCTTGGACACCACCATGCAGTCACATGGCTACGACCCGACTCCCCTCCGTGCCGTCCGACGCGCCGGCATGGCCCCACAACTGGGACAAACGGCCGCCGGGGACGCTCCAATGTCCGATGTTCGTCTCCGTCCACACCGGAGAGGACAGGACAGGCGGCGGCCGGCCGACGCTGCCCGCGGCGCCGAGGTGACAGCCTCAGACCTCGCTGCTCCCAGTACGCTACACTGGTCAGGCCGGGCCGGCGGCGGCGTGCCATCGGCCGCCGGCCAGCCGGCCTCCCCGTACTGACCACTCACTCACATACAACACACACCCCTGTGTTCGCCATCTCGGTCTCCGACTCGTCCGTCACGCTCAAAAGTCTGCTGTCTCTTGCCACTGCATTTGACACCACAGACAGAAACAAGAAACTGCAACGGACAGTGGGCTAAAACTCAAAACGCGACTCGGCGGGACCGCCGCCATCTCCACCAAAATCCAGACACACTCTACCGGCCCCACCGCCGGCTTCTACCCATCTCGCCTCGGCTCGCCGCACGGTGCTACCATCTAGCGATAAGTTCGGCTACGACGGGTTGCTCTCGTGGCGCTACTGTGCGTTCCCGTCTGCTGGCGTTCGGCGCGGCTCGGGCGGCAGCAGATGGCACGTAAATTCCGTACATTCTCCCCCCTGAGCTGTGGCATCAATCAGTGCGCCACAGGTCACACAACACCGCATTAAACTGAACGAGATATCAATATCACATTGAGCGCAACAATGCACGTTGAATGAAATTCAGACACAAAAAAAAACACATCGCGGCGCAACTAAACAGATATAACGCATCACTGCGGAGACGGGTCAGGAAACCAGGATCAGGCCAGGACTGACACGGCTCGGCTACGGGAGGGGAGGATCTAGGATCTCCAGATCATGCAGGCGCTGCACCGCTCTCGTCTTACGTCCACGGCACGTCCGTACCTCGGCAGACCTGGGCACCCCATCCCTACCCGGGAAGAGTCTGGTCACTACTCCCATCTCCCAGCTCAGACGCGGCTGGTTGTCGTCCTGCAGAAGGACAACTGAGCCTTCTACCAGCTTACCATGACGACTGAACCGTCTAACCGCTAAGGGGAGACTCCTGAGGTAATCAGTACTCCATACTGACCAAAACCTTCTCAGCCGCCTATCTCTCACCTTAGCCCTCGCCCTGAGCGACTCAGCTGTCTGCACGGAGGGCTCCTCTGCGGCTCTCACTTGGAACCCGGCACTGTGCCCGGTCAAGAAATGCGCAGGTGTCAGAGGCAGCGGGTCATCAAGGGTGTCACCCACAAAGGTCAGTGGTCTCGAGTTAACACAGGCCTCGATCTCAACCAAAATCGTCTGAAGCTCCGCCTTCGTCAGACAGCGCTGAAAGAGAGACTTCCTCAACGCCGACTTTACACTCCGAACCATACTTTCGAACTGGCCTCCCCACCAGGGAGCGAGCGGCGCAGAGTATTTAAACTCCGGCGCGAGACGCCCGTACTGCTTCTGTAAGAGGCGCTCCGCACACTGAAATGTTCTGAAATTGTCACAGTACACTACTGACGGGACACCGCGCCTCGCGGCAAACCTCTGAAAAGCCAGCAGAAAATCATCGACGTTCATGGACTCTGTGAGCTCCAGGTGTACAGCTCGCACCACAGAGCAGGTGAACAAACAAATATACAACTTTTGCTTGGGAAAATCTGCTGAAAATAAGGGACCTGCAAAATCCAGGGCACACACCTCGAACACCTTTGCCTCCGTCACTCGGTCGCGTGGCAGAGGCGGCGCCGGCTCGCAGCAGGCCCTCGAGTCGTGCCTCCGACACGAGACACAGCTCCTCACCACACGTCGCGCGATCGTGCGCAGACCAACAATCCACAGGCTGGAGCGCACGGCGGTTATCAGCGTAGAAACACCACAATGTTTCATGAACTGATGCTGCTCTCGAACTAGCAGCTCTGCCAAGTGACCTCTGGGAAGAATAACCGGGTGCTTTTCCTCATAGCACAGGTCGGACATCTGCAAGCGTCCACGGACACGGAGCAGGCCATCGTCACCGAGGAAGGGCGTCAGTCTGTGGATGGGTGAGCTGGCGGGTATCGGCTTTTCCCGCCTCAGCAGCTCTATCTCTGCAGAGAAACCGTCCAACTGCGCGGCTCTGTACAGCTGAACACGGGCAGCCGTCAACTCCTCCGTCGCCAACTCGCCGCTCCGACGCTGTGAATGGTGCCTAACGTTATACAAAAACCGCAGCACCCATCCCATCACGCGAGTGGCCTTGGAGAGCGTACCATATCTCTCCACCTGAACCAGGCCACGCCCAGGCTCAACCTCAGCCTCCACCCTCACCGCTGTCAGGGCTCCGACCTCTGCAGCGGCGCCCGCCGTCTCTGGCAGAGAATCCGGCGTGATGACGTCATCATCCGTCAAGGGCGGCATCTCCGGCTGAGACAGCCACACAGGCCCTCCGAACCACAGCGTCGACGTCACCAGCTGATCTGCGAACACGCCTCGAGTCAGCAAATCGGCCGGGTTATCCTCAGAACGACAGTGACGCCAGTTCTCCAGAGCGGTCAGTTCCTGTATCTGAACGACACGGTTACGCACAAATACGCCCCAGCGTTCGGGCCGACCCCTCAGCCAGCCGAGCGCTATCATAGAATCACTCCAGCACACATACTGCGTGTCCTCCGGCAGGTGCAGAGATTCACGCACGAACTTCACCAGCTCTGCAGCCATCAGACAGGCCATCATTTCAAGTCTCGGTAGAGTCAGGCGCTGCCTCAGCGGCGCCACACGTCCCTTGGACATGACAAAGGAGACACAGTAGGATCCATCCGGCTGCCTGAACCTGAGGTACACACAGCTGCCATACGCCTTCGGCGAGGCGTCTGCAAACACATGCAGCTCGGCACCTGTCAGTGACGACCAGTCAGTGGCCGACAGCGCAGTGAAGCAGCGGGATACCTTCACAGCATGCAGCTGTCGGCAGCCGTCCATCCAACGACAGAACAGTTCAGCAGCCTCGTCTGGTAGCGCCTCGTCCCAGTGCAGTTTGAGCTCCCAAAGCTCCTGAAATAGGCACTTTGCCAGCACTGTAAATGGAGTGACCAGGCCAAGCGGGTCATAGACTCGAGCCAGCAGGCAGAGCACGACACGCTTAGTTGGCACGACTCCAGCCGGGAGATGGTCGCCTGTGAAAGAGAGCGTGTCATCATCTCGACACCAGGTGACACCGAGCACCTTCACCTGCTCACCATCCGCTCCCGCCTGTCCCTGTCCGACTGCATCCAGAAGGAGTGAGGAGTTGCTGGTACACTTAGCCAGCTCCATGCCCGCCTCAGCCATCACCGAGCAGGCCTCCTGCAACAGAGAAGCCGCCTCCTCCTCAGTGTCAGCTCCGGACAGCCAGTCATCTGCGTACAGACATTCGAGGAGCTCAGTTTTGACACGACAGTCAGCATACCGTGACACATGATGCTTAATTGTCGCGTTCATCAGAAATGGGCTGCACGCCACACCCATTGTCACACGTTCAAAGCGCATCACCCTCAGGCGCCCATCCTGACGCCACAGAAACCGGTGAGCATCCCTGTCCTCTGCTCTCAGACTGATCTGGTGGAAAGCACGCTTCACATCACCTGAGACACCAAATCTCCAGCGCCTGAAACGCAGCAGAACCGCCTGTACACTAGGCATCAGTGCAGGCCCTGTATACACAACATCATTGAGCGACAGTCCATTCGAGCCCCTCGCGCTCGCGTCAAACACCGGGCGAACTTTAGTGGAGCTGCTGCTCAGCTTCACCACTGGCCGGTGGGGCAGATAGAACGTGACATTCTCAGTCACCATCTCATCAGCTGGGACTTCGCTGACAACACCATCAGCCTCCATCTGTCTCAGTGCTGCATCATAAGCAGCCTGGAGAGGGGGATTCTGTTGGAGACGTCTCTCCAGACTTACCAGTCTTTTCTCCGCCTCTCTCCTGTTGTCTCTCAAATGGTCCTTACACTCCATCCAAGGAATCTTAACTCTGTACCTTCCTCCCACATACTCTACAGTCCTCCTAAACTCACTCAGCAGAGAGTCGTCACTCTCGCTGCTACCATCACTACTCTCCTGACACTGAGCCCACACATCACACGTATGAGGCACTACCAGGGTCAGTAACTGTCAGCCTTCCACCCTTGGTCCACACCCCACAGACCCAGAGAGGACCCAGCCAAAGGCAGTCTCCATGGCCACCAGCCCACCACTCCGCACCAGCCCAGATCTTACTAGAGCCCAGTACTGGTCCTGCCCGACTACCAGGTCGATGTGCAGCGTGGAGCCAGACGGGGGGCAGTCCGTAGCCAGCTGGAGGTGGGCGAAGGGCTGGAGTAGGTCAGAAGACACCGGGGTCTCCGCAGCGGCGCCGATATCTCCTCCACTTCCACCATCTTCAACTTTTCCGCTGCGGACAGTGACAAGTTTCGGCCGGTCACACTCATCTCATACACATTGCATACATCAGTGACCTTAGAACCCCCAAATGAGGCACAGCTCATCTCAATTGAACCCTTGAAAGCACCCTGTACTTTCTTGCGGAAGCCCCTGGTCACAAAGGACCGGTCCGCACCCCCATCAAAGATCAGAGTCCCCTCAACAACACTCCTTCCATCTGCCGAGGGAACCAACACTGTAGCTACAGGTAACAGGGTCACCTGCTCGCCTGTGTTACACGAAAGAGAGACACTTTCCCCACGACTCCCTCCCCCCATAGCCACAGTGACAGGTTGGGTAGGGCCCCCCTCTCTAGTGGTACCCCCACCCTCTACCCCTTGGGTCCCCCGAACACTCCCCACCTTACCACACAAAGTCACATGATGCCGACCACCACACCTCTCACATCTGGCAGCACACTGCCTGGCCAGATGGGTGGTCTGCAAACAACAGAAACACAGCCCCTTCTCCCGCACCCAACCAAATCTGTCTGCAACACTCAGCTTCTGCCATGCCCCACACTTAGCTGTCTGGTGCTGCTGATGTCCACAGTAGCTGCAGCTGCTGCACCCCAGAGAAGCCGATTGCAGAGCTGCAGTGGAGGGTCGCCGAGCTGGGCGAGCCTCCCACTGGCCCGGAGGGGTCACCGTCGGTCCTCGATGTCCCGCGGCTCCAGTGTCCCTGGCAGCCCGTCGGCCGGTGCCGGGCACAGCCGCCCCAGCACGTCCTGAAGAAGTAGTCGTCTTCGATGTCAGGTGGTCATACACACCTGACCGCTCCAGTCTGGCGATCTCCTGCTGAAGGAAGCCAAGGAGGTGCTCCAAGTCACCCTCCCTGCCAACGCTGGTCCTCGCCCACTCCAATCGCACCTCAGAGGGCAGGCGCGACAGAATCAAGGGCGTCATGATTATGCCATACTGCTGTCCCGTAACTCCCAGGGCCTCCAGGCTCCGCACCTGCACCAAAAGCCGGTCCACCAGTTCCTGCAGCTTTGTCTCAGCACTGGAGCTGATCCCGAGCAGCTGCTGGATGTGGGCGAAGATGATGAGCTCCGTTCGCCCAAACCGCTCCTTCAGCAACTGGCATGTGGTCTCGTAACTGTCACCCTTCAGTGGAAGACCCTCAACACAGCGTCTGGCTTCGCCCACCAGAAGCGACCTCAAATAGGTCAACTTCTGTACAGCAGACAGCTCACTCTGGTGTACCGAGCACTCAAAACTTTCCCAGAAAGGCGCCCACTGTATGACGTCACCATCAAACTTGGGGAGTTGCAACTTCGGCAGGTGAGCAGAAGCCATCAAATTCCTGGAGCTCGCTGATGAAGGTGGTAGCTGATCCTCAACTTCAGCCTGCAGTACAGCATCAGCACGAAGCAGGACCCGCTTGATACCCTCTCTGAAGGTCCAGGCTGCCTGCAGGTCAGCCTCCATGGCCTCCAGCTCCAGCTCACATTCCACTTGGGCCTGCAGGTCATCCAAGGCAGCTAGTCGCACCTCGCATTCCTTCTTAGCATCCAGAATCACAAGGCGAGGTTCCACCCCAGCCACCTCCGTCTTCTGGTCCAGCAGGTCAGCCAGCACATTGGCCGTCCTCGTCACCCAGCCCTTGGCTGCCACCCGGCGCCTCAGCAGGCGCTCCAGATCGGCCATGGCAGTGAAGTCCACAGTCTTGGCCCACTGCCAAGGTCACTCAGTCAGCTGACTGCGTATACCAAGCCGTCCACTGACGACAACAGTCAGCCGTACACCATCCACTGATGGTGTTCAGCAGTCCAGTCCACTGACTGTGCACCATCCACTGTCAACAGTCCACTGACCGCGTCCACCCACGTGGCTGGTCCAACGGCGCTGCCGCGCCATCACTGTCTCGTAGTAGCCCACCGTCCCGGGTTTCGGCACCATGTTCGCCATCTCGGTCTCCGACTCGTCCGTCACGCTCAAAAGTCTGCTGTCTCTTGCCACTGCATTTGACACCACAGACAGAAACAAGAAACTGCAACGGACAGTGGGCTAAAACTCAAAACGCGACTCGGCGGGACCGCCGCCATCTCCACCAAAATCCAGACACACTCTACCGGCCCCACCGCCGGCTTCTACCCATCTCGCCTCGGCTCGCCGCACGGTGCTACCATCTAGCGATAAGTTCGGCTACGACGGGTTGCTCTCGTGGCGCTACTGTGCGTTCCCGTCTGCTGGCGTTCGGCGCGGCTCGGGCGGCAGCAGATGGCACGTAAATTCCGTACACCCTGTTTATCGAGAAACATACAGAACATACGCTCTGAACTATGTAATCAGCAGTCACGAACGAATAACGATGGTCTTCCATAACTCAATAGTCTCAAATGTCCCGCCCGTCTCAAATGTTGAGTTTTTAATTGCCGTTAACCCGCGCACCGACGGGGGTCTGCGCCAACTTCGCACCGACGGGGGAGGGGGCGGATGACCGCCCCCCCCTGAGATCTCGAGAACGAAGCAAGATAGCGACAAGCGGTAAACGGCATCGGATACGCACGGCCAAGATCTACAATTTTTACCGAGGTCATTTTCAGGTCAGGTCAAAGATGACGTCACAGGGGTCGAAAAAGTCAAAATGGCGGCGCTAGATATGGAGAGTTTTTCTCGAATAACTTTCGAATTAGTCAAGATAGGAACAAACTAAGGGCATCATCGTGATCCTCTCGTCAATCCGCATCGAAAGATATATATGTTGACCTCGAAAGGTCAAGGTCAAGGGTTGACCTCAGGTCACGTGACCTCGAGGTCATCATGTATATCATTCGATGCGTCTTGATGAGCTGAACACAATGAGACCATCCACGCGTCTGTATCTTGTTCCTGTACGGAGTTATTGGCCAAAAACCTTTGGTGAGCTTTGATGACGTCACATGACCTCACAGCTGCCCAACAGCAAAACAGACCTCAAGGTAGTGAAGGTTGATCGTATATGAAGTCATGTATGGTATATGGGGCCATTCCGACCCGTTTTAGTGGTAAAAACAGGGAGTTGATTTTTCCCCCATTGACTTATAATGGGGAGGTCGCGAAATTGACCTGACCTTAGGTCACCGATATCAAAATTCCGAGATATACAAATTGTAGCTACTCATGACCTAATAATATTCTGCGACTTTCAAAGGCCTCCGACATCTACTGTAGCTCTGGCACGGTGACAAAGTTGCAAAAAAGTGACTTGAGGTTGGGTCATTCAAAGTGACCTGCTGACCTGACCTTAAAAGGTAGGAGGTTCAAACTTGCACACCATGTGTAAAATTGATGAGGTTATAGTCATACTAAATTTCGCGGCGCTACGCGCCGCGGTTTTCCCGCTATTCGCGAAAAACCTCAGGGGGGTGGATATCCGCCCCTCCCCCGTCGCACAGTGGGCCGATATGCCAATCTAGCACGACAGGGCCTGAATCTTCGAACGGAACCCTTGGTTTTTCGCGAGTAATTCGCGTAAAAAGCGGCCAATCGCAACGAAACTTTCAGTACCCTCGCGATAACTACTTGTACAGCTAACCTGAAAATTTCATGACCCTGACCTTAATGATCTTTGACCTGTGACCTTCTTTCGAGACCATGTTTGGCCGGAATCGGGATTCAGCGTATGTCGGCTCGCATTAGCCGCGGGTTTGCAGTCTTTTCTTGGTTTAAAGCGTTCAAACATGGGATATTATGTTGCTCCCATGCATTAGGGTGGGTGTCAAGGTCACCAGAAGGTCAGGTAAGGTCATTGACCTTTGATGACCTTGGTTCACTTTTTCGAGTTTTACATGTTTCTAGGCTAGTTTTTGGAGCTGAATTCGAATCTAGCAACCATTTGAACATTTACTATGTAGCTTTGGTGCCTTCGTAACATGTTACAAAGCTGTCAGAGGCGGTTGCCACCTACTGCAAATACCCGGCAAAACCTTTATTGGTTGACCTGACCTGACCTGACCCGACCTGGCCTAAATGTATGAAGACATCATTTATGATCGTAAATAACATTATATTCGTGATCAGCACCCCAAAAAAACATAGCAGCCACCCATTACGACGTTCTAACAGGTCCCGATTTTCCTGACTTTTGGGTCATTGACTTGACCTGAAAGGTCAACCGATGACCTAGGACCTTACAATTGGGTATCATCAGCTTCCTCTTGTCACGGGCAACACGCTCGTCTTTTCCGCAAAGCTCTAGCTCGATCAGGGGCGAAGCGGCGGGGGGGGGGGGGGGGGGTCCAACGGACCCCTTCTATACGTTCGCGGCTGGAAAAACACCACTAGGGGCGAGGGTTAAGCCAAATCGGAGGGCTTATTTCAGAAAGACTGCTAAAAGAGCAATTGAATGCACTTTTCCGCGACGATGTAGCTCTATTGGTCCCCGTGGTAAGGGCCGGTTTTCGAGAAATGTTGATATACGCAACATTTTACCTTTCATGACCTCTGGTGACGTGACCTTTGACCTGACCTAGAAATGACTAATTACTCCATCTGATATTTTGGGCGCTCTATCGAATGCCACTTACTACGTGTCGCTATGTGGCCCAAGAGCCGAGTTAGAAGGGGAGTGTTCAATCAACACCTCCCGGCCCGGCGCGTTTGACGCTGAGCACCGGTCCGGCGCGGGTTGATGTTTGGCTGCTACATCCAAAGTCGCAAAAAGTCGCAAAAAATGACTATTGGATCTTGTAGTGCAATGAATCATTGACATGTAGCGAGATTTTCGAAGCGGTACTCTGCGGTACTTTTTTTAAAAGTCTATTTGTGTGTGACATCAATTATGTGAAATTATGTTTTCGTCTTTAAATCTTTGTGGTGCCAATACATCATAACCAAGTAAGAGTTCGCCATTTTCATGTGGTTATATGCCTTCTGCAGGCCCGGAGCTATCGTTTGATGTATATAAATGTGGAATTCCTCCTCAAATTGTGATTGTTTTCGTGGATCAAAGATACGTTGTCGAAGAGTGCGGGGGACGAGTTCGGTCCAAACGATTCCGAAGTTCGTGTTTAAGCTGAGTTTTCGCCATGAAATAGCAATTGTGTTGGAAAACAAAGACCACAGCAATGTAGTATGATCATTTTTGAACAAATTGGTATAGGTTTCATTGCACATCCGCAAAGTTCGATTTTTTTTTACCCATGTCGTGCTAGACCTGGCGACCGGCCCAGTGTGCGTCGGTGCGAGGGTTAAACTGCCGTTTTTACGTTATTTGCGAAAAACCTTAGGGAGGGTTGCATTGCATCATCACCCCCCCTCGCCGGGCGAGGGTTAAATACCTCAGTCGACGCCCGAACTGGACAGAAATTCCGGCCTGGGTGAGGGTCAGCTGTCCCTCTGACCCCCTTTGCCTGCGACACGGATCCAACCTGATGGTTGGTGTAACGCTTATCAGTTATCTTTAGACCAATAGTACATACATACCGGGCCTCTGTCTATCTGAGACGCTGTTGCACGGGACTGGTCTGATAGTCGGAGCCACTGCAGCCCGATAGTGGCTATCTGGGAGCGGCGTCTGCTCAGGACTATCTGGGAGCGGCGTCTGCTCAGGACTATCTGCGTGGAAGCTCGGACAGACGCCGCGGCCATCCGGCAGACGCCCGCTGCTGTCGACCCGTCCTAGGTAAGTCATGGGAGCAGAGCATATCCGATCAACTTTCTTTGGGATAGATGCGAGTGAGCACGAAGCGAGTCTATTGAGCCATAGTGGAAACTTATGTATGCAACGGCAACAGCTACGCAAGAAAAGGTTTTTGACGAATGGGTAGCGTGTGTGCTGTCGTCCTAGCAACAAGTACGGCTCTCGCGAGATTAAGCGGTAGGTTTTGCACTTTTACATTTCCGGTTATATCTCAGAAACTAATCGATCTACGACGAAACCATTTTACACGATCATGGCCGGCTTGTTACCTAACAAGTCGATCGCATCTTCAACACTTAAAAGCTTAACCCTCGCCGGCCGAGGGGGGGGGGGGCGGGTGCCGCCCCCCCCCCATAGGGTTTTTTCGCGATAGCTCCGAACACGCTGGCGATAGAGAGCTGAAACTTGGCATACCTGACCTTTGATCCAAGCCGCATCTTTTGACACCAACCGCATTTTTGGGTCAGGTCAGGTCACTGACCTATGACGTCATAAGTGAACCTCTGCACGGTCTTCAGATGTCGCAACTTCGCAACGCCCTCACTGCCAGAGGAGATGTCACAGGGAAATGAAACTTGCAGGATCTAGTATCCATTATGAGTCCCACAACTTGTATATCTCGGATTTTTCCTAAAGGTCATATGAGGTCAGGTCATTTTCATGACCTCACCATTATAAGTCAATGGGGAAAAATGAAAACTGCTATTCTGGCGCCGGGAACGATCTCCAACTATCTCAAGCACACAGAATCGTGATTTGATGCACTCCTTGCAAGGTTAGATGCGTCACTTTTGCAATGTTGACCTTGCGTGACGTCATTTATGACGTCATCAAGGTCAAATTAGTTTTTCGTCAATAACTCTTGATCAAATTGAGCTAGCGAGTCGGGGAAGGCACCAATGGACTCAGGAAGGCCTGCCGAATCGAATGATATGCGACATGACCTCTTTCGACCAACTTCGTGACCTGGGGGTGCTGACCTGACCTTGACCTGAGGTCAACACCCCAAGTTGACCTGACCCGGACAAAAAGTATATCATTCGACGCGCCTGAGTGAGGTGAACACGATGCTGCCAAAATCGGCGCTCTGCGGCCGTTTTTTGCGAAGTTATTCACCAAAAACTGAACCGTACCTTGGGGCACTTGACCTGACCTCAGAGGTCACCGGTTGACCTAGGACCTTAAAATCGGGTACCAATCTCTGCGTCTCGTAACGGCGCACACGCTCGTTTTTTCCGCGACGCGCTAGCTCCACCAGGGGCGAAACGGCGAGGGGGGGTCGTACCCGCCCCCCCCCCCCCCTCGGCCGGCGCGTATGTAGAAAACCAATAGGTCCGGCGAGGGTTAAGACGACGAAGCTCTACCCTGAAGAACGCTAAATTTTCTAGGTGCAAAACCTACCGCTAAAACCCGCGAGACCTCTACCTAAGCGTCGCAATTTCGAATACTGCTCGTACATAGTAGGTGCACCGAGACCGACTAGATCGAAGATGATTGGAGATTGATCCCAGGTGATGACAGTAATGAGAAGCGAACTCGCGGCTCATCTCACTGGCCTGTTCCTTTTGCCAGAGTTAACACCGTCCTCCGTAGTCTCCTCTGCCGTATTCC